CTCGCTCTCGCACGTAACTTCACTGTGTCAGTGCTGGACACTGACACATCTTCTTCTGAGGCATCAGCTGCCTTGTGCGGGCTCTCGCTCTCGCACATGTCGTTACAACTGATATGTCCGTATCAGTTGTCTTCTGCGGTTGATCGACATCAACCGTAGCGCCCCTCCCCCACTTAAAAAGGAAGACACCCGTCTTCCTTATATCGTAAAGTAGACGTGCACACGGTACTAGTGTGCACTTGCTCGTAAGTGAGAGGTCACCCTCCGACGTTCCATGTCGGAAGGAGCTGAGAGAAACTCGATCAGCTCTTGCGTCTGCGTCAAGCGCAAACGCAGCCTTCTCCGTGGAAAATTTATTCGGTCGTCGCGACAACACGTGTGCGACGACATTCAACCTTCCGGGTTTTGTGGGCCCGGAAGTCGTACACCAGGGGGAGATAACCATCTCGCACGAAGGACGAGATGTGCGGCGACTTCATCGTTGCCCACAACGTCGCCTGGTCGGTATAGACCACGAACGACGTGTTGCCGAGTCATCGCACTCGGCACTTCTGGGGTGTATTCTTCATGACAAGGGTTTCCTTGTCATGCACTGGATCATCAACACGCATCCGATCGCGAAATCGGATGTGTACGGGAAAGGGACGATCTTGGACAACCACTGTCAAGATCGGCGCAGCAGCCAATCCCAGCTTGGCCGCATCTAACGGCTGCGACCACGCAGCGGTTCATTTCCGTGCGCGTTTCTTCTTCCCGTCCACAGCCCGGCTGTGAACGAGTATCATGTAGAAGCAGTTCGGTGCGAAGTCTTGCACCGAACACAAGCAATGCGTCGCGCACCTTGCTTGATCCCGCGACAGTAGCCGCTGTCGCGTCGGGATACTTCTTCCGCGGGAGTTCCGTCCGAGAGCACATCCATGTGCTCTCGCAGAATCTTGCAACTCTGCTCGTTGAAGCGTTCCTGCTTCGTCTTGCCACTGAGAGTATCATCACTCTCAGTGGGGCTTCCAGCGAAGAGTTGGCCCAACACCTCTGCTTCACTTGTCATTCTTTCACCGAAAAGAGCAGGCATCGGAGGTAGTACCTGCCGCTTGTGTGCTTGGACTTGCTGTAAGATCAGCTCGTGGTTGCTTCCGCTTAGCAGAGCTCAGGTGCGAAGAAATCTTGAAATGGCAGCGACGCTCTAAGATCGCTAAAGCAAAATTTCGTTTAGTTTATCTACCAATCACATTCAATTAGAACGAGCACGTACCCGATCCAATGGCTACATGAAAGAGCTCGAACGAGCATTCGAGTCAGTGTGCTCCTGATTTGCGAACTTATAGCCTACGAGCTCAATTTTCGTTGTTTTCGAGCTCACGCACTTAACGACGAGCTGCTAAGTGCGCCATTTCGTGCTCCACTAACCCGTGCTCGTCCTAGGCTTGCCTTCACTTGCTCCCGCGGCAGTGGCCACTGCCGCGTCACGCAATACTTCGATCCCGGCACGAGATCAATCTCGTGCTGTATTCCCTTG